ACTGAGCCTAACCAGCTAGGGCTGGTCCAGTTTTATAGTCACTTCACCATCTCTCTAAAGTAGATCCCACACTTATACTATGTCCTCCACCTGCATCCTGGATTTGTTTTTAATCTACTATTGTAATTATTTTGTTTGCTTTTACTTAATTTTTTTATCTTTTCCTCACTAGAATGTGTCCCCCATAAGAGTAGGAATTATATTTGTCTTGCTCATCGTAATATTTGTAGTACCTAATACACTGGATCTACCTTGCTCCAAAGCCCATTCCTACAGTAGGTTTTTTATTTCTAATTAACAGACTTTTTTTTAGAGCATGGTTAAGTTTACAGAAAAAATAAGCAGAAAGTACAGAGATTTCACATACACTCCCCATCCCCACACAACTTCCTCTATTATTAATATCTTGCATTGGTGTGTTACATTTGTTGCAGCTGATAAACTACTATTAATATATTATTTTTAACTAAGGTTCATAGTTTACATTATGGTTCATTATTTGTATTGTACATTCTATAAGTTTTGTCAGTCATGCTATATAGTCACCATGGTAGTATCATACAAAATAATTTCTCTAACCTAAAGATCTTCTGTTATCCAAGTATACATCCTTCCCTTTCCCTCCCAACCCTTAGCAACCACTGATCTTTTTACTAACTCTATAGTTTTGCCTTTTCCAGAATGTCATATAGTTGGGATCTATTGTTGATATTTAATAAATACTTATTTAATGAATGAATAATTGCTAACTGTTGTGACAACCCATGTGAGCTCTGATGAGGATTGGCTTTGGGGCAGTGACAGTGAGCTTGCAAAGGAGGGTATAGATGGGGAAGGCAAAGGGAGGGCATAGGGTTAACAGGGCATAGTGACTGAATGGTACAGAAGAAGGAGTAAAGTCAATGCTGCACATTCTAGTCCAGGTACCTGGAGAAGAGAATAAATGGGCAGATACCATCATGCTGTCCCAAAACAATTTCTTCCTACTCAGATCATAGAGGAAGAGTTGCATGCACAAGCTGTTATCCTGGAATCACTAAACACCACCCTCTACCAAACCCAGATGGAACTCCAGAAGGAGGTGAGTCCTGGCTGGAGTGGGGATGGGCATTTGTGGGAGGATCCCAGGTCTCTGTGTAGCTCAGCCATACAGCTCTGGTTGGGAAAAGATAGCTATCAAAATGTACAATGTCTTTCAGAAAGCTGTGGTGGCAAATCTGGAGAAAACACTCCAGACCAAGCTTGCTGAAACGGAAGAGAAGTTTAAATTCACCATACAGCTCCTGAGAGAAGAAAACATTCATCTGAGGTGTGAATGGGGTGCAAAAACATGGCTGACTTATCTTTAGGAAGGGGGAGGGGGTTGGGTGAGGAATAGGTGAAGATGAACTCAGGTGTTTCCTAATGAAGTCAAGACACAGGCACTTTCAGGAGGAAGATATTCACAGTGAGCCTGACCACAGAATTTACCTGCTGTGGTCAAACAGTTCATTTGATAGTTACTATCTCTTTTTTTCATGCTGTTGAGCATTTTTACCATCATTACTCTCAGTTCTTATTTTAAATTTCTTATCTCTGCTTCATTTATCTCTTCTTCTGGAGAATTCTGTAGTTCTTTCATTTGGGGGTTGTTTCTTTGTCTACTAATTTTGGCTGTTTGGGTTTGTGACTATGTTTTAGGTAGATCCTCTACACCTCTCCCATCTCTAATGCAGAACAGTGTTAAAGGCTGTTTCTGACTCATTGGATCAGGCAAAGACTCAGAGCCTCCAGAGACTGCCTCTGCCTACAGACTAATAGGATTCTGACTTGAATTGCCCCACCCCCACCCCAGTTTGTTTGAATTGGTTTTTATGCAAAATGATACATCGTATTTATCTGAGACTCTCTAAGTGTATTCAGGATTTAAAAATCGAAAGATTATTTTTAAACATCTCCCCTGAGAGTTTAGGGGTGTAGGTGTTAGTGGTTTACCCTTAGATGCAGCAATATTGGGTTCCTGTAAATCAATTTTAGGTCAGAAATTAAACTGCAACCTGAAGATGCATCTTAAATTATTGAAATAAATTTCGGTCAATACTTTAATAAAGGGAACTTATTTATTATGTTGATTTAGTGGAAAATTCCTCACATGGGCATTTGGTCATTCACATATCCTGTCTCATTAAATTCAAAACTACTGCAAGTAATGAGTGAGACTGCCCCCAGTGAAAGAATAAAACCACACTTCTCTCTCCCCAGATATCCTACCCCACTGTCTACTCTTTGAGTCTATAGTGATACATTTTCTCTTTCTTTATAGGCAAAAGATAAATACCAAGAATGGAGGAATTTATGAAGAACGATCTGGAAAGTCAACCTGTATTACTATTTATGAGGATGATACTGAGACTTTAGAGGAGGGTAGCAACAAAAGACAAGAATTATGAGCAGAAAAGTTGTTCTCCATCATCGGAATTGATAGGAACACCATCTCTATAAGCCTAGAGTACTCCTGTAGGTTTTCTTGAGAAATGCATAAGATGGGTTTGGTTTTGGGGTTGCCTTGATTCTACTTTCGTCTTTTCACAATTTGCTTTCTTCTGAGTGGTTGGGAATGTTTGAATTCTCATCTCAATTACATAGATTTTTTTTTTCATGATTTTCGCTGAAAAGTGATGTGCTCTGTAGCTACAGCTGGGCTTTCTCTGGGTGTACTATTTTCTCTTCCACCTTTACATATTTTATTATGAAGACACTGATCTGAAATTTTTCTTCCTATAAAATGTTAACTATATTTTGGACTGTACCTGGGGCATTTAGCTAGCAAGAAAAAATTTATTGGTTTGATTTCAAAAACCTTTCTTTTTCATATGTGTCCCCACTCTCTCACCTCTCAATCACATTCCCTAACCTGTGATTTAGGAAGAGTTTCTGATAATTCTTGCCAGATTCTCTAAACCATTGCTAGAATTCAAATACCACTGTGCAGACAACATAAATAAGTGAAATGGGCTGCACATAAAGAAAAACAATCCAACCAAAACAATAATTGGTAATTGGCAGCAGCTTCAATAGAGGGGACTAGAGGGGGGAGGCAGTGAGAGAAACCATTCCACTGCTGCCATACAGGAGCATGGATTAATGGGATCAAATACTCTGATTTTTCAAGAGAAGGTATTCTAGTTTTTATATCACATCTCCCAATTTTTAAATATGAACAACACATTTTTTTAAAATATTGATTTCAGAGAGGGAGGGAGAGGGAGAGAGAGATAGAAACATCAATGATGAAAGAGAATCATTGATTGGCTTCCTCCTGCATGCCTGTTATTGGGGATCGAGCCTGCAAAGGCGTGTGCCCTTGACCAGAATCGAACCTTCAGTCTGCAGGCCGATGCTCTGTCAACTGAGCCAAACCAGCTAGGGCTGAACAACACATTTTTAAAAAATATAATGGTGTGAGCCAACATTGGAGGGTTCAAGTAAAATGTATCTGTGATCCAAACATTTTCCACCTGTGAGATGCCATTGGCAAAAAACAAAACAATCTCCTGCGAACAGTAAAGTTATATTTTGTTAGAAGTACTTTTGAAAAACTAATTTTTAAAAAAAACCTAATTAGCTTTTAAAAACAAGATAATTCATGAGTATATCAAATGAAATTATAATTTTTAAAAGCATGAATAGCACAGAAATGCTAGCAAAAAAGCAAATCAAGCATGTACAGAAGAATGCATATACTACAAGAGCAATAAGAGGAAAGGCTGAAAAGGGAATTTGGAAGTAGATTGTAACAGATTTGTAAAACCATTTTGGGTTTTTAAAAGCTTTTAATGCAAGAAATAGTATTTTCCAATTTGTATTTTAAAGAAACTTGTAGTGCAAGTTACTTGAGACACAACAGTACAAGACGGACACTCTGACCCTGCTTTATTCCCCTGAAAGTCAGAAATGTCCCATGTGAAAGCCCCCCCACCCCCACCCCACCCCCAACCCCATATGAGGAGGATAGAAGGCATCAATATTATCAGATAGGGAATTTAGGGCCAAGAAGGCTGTGTAAACAAAACTTGTTATTTCTTTACTATTAAGACCAAACTTCTTTGTCTTATAAATGCTTCTCAAATTTATTGTTATTGTGTCTAAAAGATATAAAATCTGCCTGATTTGATAACTTTTTAAAAAATATATTTTATTGATTTTTTACAGAGAGGAAGGGAGAAAGAGAGGGACAGAAAGGTAGAAACATCGATTCATGTGCCCGCAACCAAGGAAGGTACATGCCCTTGATGGGAATCGAACCTGGGACCCTTCAGTCCACAAGCTGATGCTCTATCCACTGAGCCAAACCGGTCAGGGCAATCTTTTTTTTTTTTTTTGAGTCTCATATTTCTGTGAACTCCAGCATATATGAAAGTTAATTTTATTTTTCTATTGTTAATTTATCTTATGTCATTTTAATTAGTATGAATAAAAAGGAAAAGTTATCCTTACATATAATTGTAGTGTGGAGGATGGCTTGGAAAGAGAGGGACTGAAAGTACAAAACAAAACAATTCTTAACAATTTGAAGCAGCAGTCGCCAACCTTTTGGACCTCATGGACCACCAGTGGTCCGAGGACCACCGGTTGTCAACCGCTGATTTGAAGGGAATTAAATGATTTGGGGTTGAAAGGAAATCAGAGATGAGTGAAGTACATTCTGCCACTGTTTTTGAACCATTGTAATGTCACATTTCTTTTAAACTTACTATCCTTTGTATCTACTATAGTTTTTAAAAGTGTTTTATCAAATTAAAAATACAATTAAAATCATGGCTATGGCTATAAATATCTAGCTATCATTGCAAAGCCAGAAATTTAGGCTTCAATCTGCATAAAAATTAAATTGTCATGACTCCCATTCTCTCCCCTCTCTGCCTTCAAAAACTGGGGGGTGGGGCCGTACCCAGTTTGACACAGTGGATAAAGCATCAGCCTGCAGACCAAAGGGTCCCAGGTTCAATTCGATCAAGGGCACGTACCTTGGGGCTCATGCAGGAAGCAACCCCTCGAAAAGGGAAAAATATCCTCAGGTGAGGATTAACAACATAAAATAAAATAAAATAAAATAAAATAAAATAAATGGGGGAGGGGCAGCATCATCTTATTAACAATTAAATTAAGCATAGTGTTATGCAAATAAATGATAGCATAAAGTAAAAGCATTATAGTACAAAAATTAAGCATAGTGTTCTACATCAATTAAGGGGGAAGTAGAGTTTTTTTCTCAGGGTGAAAGTGGGTTGTGGCATCTGCTTCCCCATATTCTTCTTGTCGTCCTTATTGCTCACTTCAAAGTTTACCTCAGTGAGGATGGTGAGAATGTCGTCACCCCTGGAAAACAGAACATAGCATTGTGACCATCTGGAGGGGAAAACACTGGTAAACCCGTTCACCTGCTGTGCTTATAGCTATTTCTCTCAAAACATCAGGCAAGCCCAGCTGGCGTGGCTCAGTGGTTGAGCATCGACCTATGGACCAGAAGGTCACAGTTCGATTCCTGGTCAGAGCACATGCCTGGGTTGTGGGCTCCATCCCCAGTAGTGGGCATGCAAGAAGCAGCCAAGCTTTGGTTCTCTCTCATCATTGATGCTTCTCTCTCTTTCTTCCTCTCTGAAATCAATAAAAATATATTAAAAAAAAACAACATCAGGCAGATGAAATAAGTTGCTAAACCAAGACCTGCCATAGCATTTCAGGTAAAGGATGTTTCAGAGCTTAATAACTTACCTTTGGTTTCCTCAGGGTCTCTGCAGACCATCAGAAACCTCCGTGTTAACATGAGATTTGGCTTCTTCCCCTCCCAATCTGTTTGTACCTCACTCTACTCCAGCTTCTATGTTACTTGCCCCCATCATCCTCTCAATGATCCCTAACATCCTCTGCCCAAAATTGACATTGCTTCTGTGGATTCATCCATGATGCAACCAAACTTATGGGAAGTGAAAATCCAGTGTCTTCTGCAGCCACACCACCCCTTTCTCACCAGTCTCACTATCCAGTTTAATTGGGCCACCTGTTCATCCACCTCTGCAAATAGCCCCCCACCCACCCACCCCCACATCCACCCCCGCCTAACCTTGCAGGATTCATGGTCTGAAATGAAATGAAATGAAAACATAGTGTTGATGTTATGGTTCACTCCTTTATCCACCATAGAAAATTCTCATTCTTCATACACTTTAAACATAATAATGCTGAACTAGAAGGAACCTAGCAGAAGATTCCTTGCTATCCATCTGTCTGTTGTGTGTGCATTTGGGTGAACTGTGACATACAAAACTTCATGTAACTAAAAGAATTGTGGGATATTTAAATGAGGAAAGGCGATTTTCCTACATTTTGGGGCTTTAAATCAGGCCAGATGAGTACAACAATAAAGGATTTTTGCTCTTTCACATTTCTCTCTCACAATACACCAAGAGGGTGTGAGGTCGGTTAACTATTATGGAACTTTTGACAGAGCTAGAGGATAGGACACATTGAAATGGGTTATTGCCTTTTTGGAAGACTTCTTAGAATTTTTTTAGTTAAGGTGGCACAGTCATGATTCTGCCCAAATACAGAGCTGGACTATATGACTTCACCATCCTTCACAGCAATCTGATACCCTGCCTGTCCTTTGAGGTGCTAACAAGGGGAAACTCCTCAGTAAGTATCTGTTTTTTTCTCTCTCTGACTAAAGATGTTAAGACTCGTCCTCTCTCCCACTTTGCAACTGACATGGGAAGTACAGCTCTGAGGCCCACAGCTGGACATGTATAGATGAATGACGGGTTGAGTAGGCAGGAATTACCTAGGACATCTTTCTCTCAGACTCTGGCACAGTGACTGGATATACCAGGTCCCCTCTGCGGGGTTTCGGTAGGAAACACAGTTGTTCACTGTGGCCATCCCCAGCAGAAAGTCAGCCTCATCTGGGATATTTCTCTTCTGATTCGAGTCCATTTCTAAATAGGCTTCCTTCTCCTCTGAGTCGGTCTCAACAGCTATGCCTTTCTGGTAGTTATCCCCTTGGCAAGCCTGGATAAAAAAGATTTTCGGTTTGCCTGCAAGGGAAGGGCACTTCAAACCAGTGAAGTAAGAGGTCAGCTCATAGATGGGGGCTTCCTGCCCATCACAGCCATAGACGATGCCTTTGTCTCCATGGGAAAGGATGCAGCAGACGAAGCAGTCTTTGTCATTGTGGTCCTTGCGTTGGTAGTCTTTCAGGATCTCACAGATTGTCTTTGCTGTGGCATCGTTGTAATGCACTACCTCAAAATGAAGATCACTAAAGGTTTTGCTCAAAGCCTCTGAAAAGTGAAATACAAAAAGTCATATTACACCACAATAGTACCCAGAGCTGAAGAGAGCATTGATCAGATAAGAATTTGAACCAGAACTTAAAAACAAGATCCTCTATATTAGTGGCTAGATTCTAGCTGGAAAAAGTTTCCCAGTCTCGAGGCAACAAACAAAAGTAGAATACTATTGTTGGCCCATTGCCTTATTTCAGCTAGTCTACAAGATGAGTAAGCTTACTTACACTAATCAGAAAACAAAAACCAAAAGGACTTTTAACAAAATAGCCATACTTATTTTATTCTGAACCCTCTCAAAACTGTCAAAATAAAATATATGAATGTTTAAAAAGTCAAGTAGAACCAAAAGACCTATTACCAAAAAAACTCTCCCTCTCTAGCCCTCCCTATTACCCAGTCACATTCCACTTTCAAATTCTAACTGCTTTTTTTTGTTATCAGCCTCCATTTTGTAATAAATTTTGGTACACTGCTATTTATTGATTGATAAATTTTAGACTTTTGTATTGAAGTACTGATATGGTGTTCTTACACAATTGTTTACAATTTTTAGTAGAATCAACAGTAATGTTTGTATTACTAGTTTTTGTTTAAACATAATATTATTTAATTATGCTTCCTTCTTTTTTTCAATTGTTGACACTATTATAGATGTCCCTCATTTTCCCCACCTTTGCCCCCTGCCCTGGCCTTCACCACACTGTTGTCTGTCTCCAGGGGCTATGCGTATATATCCTTTGACTAATCTCTTCACCTTCTTTCATCCAATTCCCCCTCCCACCTCCCCTCTGACATGTCAGTCTGTTCCATGTATCCATCCTCTGGTTCTGTTATGCTCATCAGTTTACTTTGTGTCCCCACATGCTCTATCTTTGAGACTGTTCCATGTACATTTGAGAAAAATATATTCTGCTTTGGGTTGAAATGTTCTGTCGTAAATATCAATTAAATCCTATTCCTGGCCCTTGGCAACCTGTTTGAAGCTACAAGTGAGCCACAGTTTGTGGCTGCCTCTGTGGGCATGGCAAGGCCAGTTTTTACCAGGACAGGGCCCAGAGGTGGGTCCACAGGCCTCTCCAGGCTCCCAGGATCTGCCTCCACCTGCCAGCTGGCTGTTAGGCTCAGTCACTGAAAGAACCTCTGGCAGAATGGGGAGAGTGCGGATATTGGATACGATCTTGATACCATGGCAATGTTTTCACACACTGTAATACCTAACACATTCAACAGAAATACTAGTCATTTAGTTGAATTAAAGGCAAAGCTGGTTGCTGCTTTTCAGTAAAAGCCCTTTAGTAAGATTTAATATTTTATCTTTATGTGTATACATTGTTTTAATTTTTAAAATTAAGTTAAAAAAAAGAAAAGCAGAAAACTAGCAAATACCTAAGACTGTCCTTCGCCTCCACAGGAAAATGTGGTTATAGTCATTTTTCTGAAACATACAGCTCTGTTGGTATAGCTTTTGTTCGCCCCTTTTGATAAAAACATAAGTATCCTATATAATAAAAGCCTAATATGCAAATCGACCAAACAGCAGAACGACCGGTCTATGACCTGCACTGACCACCAGGAGGCAGACGCTCAATGCAGGAGCTGCCCCCTGGTGGTCAATGTGCTCCCCTGCTCAGCCAGAAGCTGGGCTCACAGCTGGTGAGCGCAGTGGCGGTGGCAGGAGCCTCTCCCACCTCTGCGACAGCAGGAAGGAGCAGCGAGCAGGCGGGCAGTAAGGAGCGAGGGGTCCTGGACTGTGAGAGGGCACAGGCCGGGTTGAGGGACCCTCCCACCCCAGTGCACGAATTTTGTGCACGGAGCTTCTAGTTAGAAATATTTTACATCTCTTTTGGAATCTACTGTACCTGCATCCAAGTTTGTTCCATCCCTATCCTTCATTTTGTGAAGTTTGGGCACGTTCTCCCGTGCTTTGCTAAAATCATAATTATTAAAGATCACACAGTATCCTCGAGGTTTGCTTTTCATTCGGTAAACTTTGTCCGCTGTCTGAAAAACAAAAAGCACAACCCAGGAGCTGACACTGCAGGTCAGACACTTGAGATGTGAGCAAACAACTCCCTAGTCCAAGGTTAGGCTGGCCCCTGAGCCAGACTGGGCTCGTTCAATGGCTCCCACCCAAGCTGACATTGTTTCCCTAACAAGCCGGCTCATTTCTCCTCACACAGGACCCCCAGACTCTTGCTCCACCTGTAGTGTGTCTAGTTAATGTCCCAATACTTGGGCCTCCTGAGCACCTTGCACTTACATTCATATTGTCATCATAATGTATTATTTGTCCTCATTTCTGCTCAAGGCAGATGATGTCTGGGTCAGGAACCAGGGCTTATTCATTTGTGAGAGCTCAAGCAGGAGTTGCTCAATCAATGAATGTCTTAGGGCTGTCTCTGGGCTGTCCTTCCGTGACCCTGTGATTTCTATGGCTATCTGATCAACTCATCCCTGTTTCTGGGCAAACAGCTGAGGGCCTTCCCTTCACACATGACATCGGGTCCCCAGACTGTTAAAGCTGATGTATTAATCTGGTTCTCAGGACCACAGGGACACGAGATGAGAGATGCACTGGACAAGCAAATCTTGGCTATTGCAGGTTAGTTTCCAGACTCTAGAACCTGACATTACCAGTCAGTGGTGGCCCTGGGCTGGCCTTATTTTCCCAGAGCTGTTTCAGTGCAAAGATATCCAACATTTATTGGGAAATCCATGCAGCTCCTCCAAGTAGAGAAAGGGGCTCCCAGCTGGAGGGGGCGTGGAGGTGTGAGGGATTCTTGGCTATATCCTATATAATAAAAGCCTAATATGCTAAGTGTCCAGTGGTCTGGTCGTCAGTTCAACCAATCAAAGCATAATATGCTAATGATATGCTAAGGCCACTCAACTGCTCACTATGATGTGCACTGACCACCAAGGGGCAGACAGTCGACCAGTCGACCAGTTGCTATGACGTGCACTGACCACCAGGGGGTAGACGCTCCAACTGGTATGTTAGCTTGCTGCTGGAGTCCAGCCAATCGGGACTGAGCTAGATGGGCCGGACATGCCCTGGAGTCCTCCAGTGATCCCTCCCCAGCTGTCCAACTTCCCACATCCCTCCCCGGCCCTGATCATGCACCAGTGGGGTCCTTCAGCCTGGCCTGCACCCTCTTGCAATCCAGGACCCCTCAGGGGGGCACATTGTCTATCAGGTAGTTCCATCTATACAATAAAAGCATAAGCGACCATTACAGCGGAACAACCAGAATGACCAGTCACTATGATGTGCGCTGACCACCAGGGGGCAGACGCTCAATGCAGGAGCTGTCCCCTCATGGTCAGTGTGCTCCGACAGGGAGTGCCACTCAGTCAGAAGCTGGGCTCATGGCTGGCGAGCACAGTGGTGGTGGCTGAGCCTCTTTTGCTTCCATGGCAGTGCTAAGGAGCAGCAGGCTGAGCGGTAAGGAGTGAGCAGGCAGGTGGTAGGGAGCAAGGGGTCCCAGACTGTGAGAGGGTGCAGGCCGGGGTGAGGGCCTCCCTGCCCCACCCCGCCAGCCAGTGCATGAATTTTGTGCACCGGACCTCTAGTACTTAATAACCTTAAAACCTTGAACAAGTTATCCAATCTCTCTTGCACCCAGGATCCTTAGCTGTTCCTGGGGCAATGCCTGTAGAGTGCTTTACTCGGCAGTGTGCTCCCTTACTTTGGTTAATCCTTGATTTTCAGACTGAGAGAGGTCCGGTAACTTATTCAAGAGCCCCCTGGTAAATTGTTCTCTGGGTTTAATTTTAAGTCTCCTGCTGGGCTCCTGGTGTTCAGGATTTCCTTTGCTTTCTGCCACAGAGAGGTGTGAGTGGGCTATGAGTCAGAATGGGTTTGGTGGGTCACTGAAGGTTACACAAGCAGGAGTGCTTATGTCTAGAAAGGCAATTCCTGGACTGGCTCTTTGGGGTGAGAACACAGAGATGGCTAGATCATGAGCGTTTGCCACTTACACCTAATCACCAAGGAGAAACAGTTTTGGGATGTCAAGCCAAAGGAAACGGCTTTGCTTTCTCCAGTCCTGCTGGGCTCTGCCCCCAAAGCCCGCTGCCATTCGGGCTGATGCAGCTGCTGAAAGGGCCTGGCAGGAGCCTTCTCACCCCTCTGCTCCAAGTGTTTCAATGTCTTTGTCTTTGGTTTTAAAATAAACATTTAACCCGAGAAATCACATTTTCTTTACATTAAAAAGTCACACTTTAAGCTTGTGCTTTTGTGAATTTTTCCTATAGTTCTCAAAATAGTCACTAAGTTTCTTCTCCTTACTAGTTTATCTGGAAGCTTAAAAAGCAAAGGAATACACTAACTAGAATCTTCAATGTAAAGAAAAGAAGTAATGGGAGGTTTCCTCATACCTGCTGTGGCTTATTGTCCTGCTCCCGTGACTCACAGTCCTGTTCCCGTGACTCACTGTCCTGCTCCCGTGGCGGCTCACAGTTCTGTTCCTGTGGCTCACAGTTCTGTTCCCGTGGCTCACAGTTCTGTTCCCGTGGCTCACAGTTCTGTTCCTGTGGCTCACAGTTCTGTTCCCGTGACTCACTGTCCTGCTCCCGAAGATAGTCGGAAATTGGCCCCCCATCTACAGGGAACGACAGGTGGCAGAGAAGGTACTTTAGTAAAGAAACATGTAACACCTGAGACAACAGAAAGTCCCTTTTAAAAGGAAAATTCATATCCTTACAATCCACAGAATAAGTCCCATTCTTACCACTGAAGAACTCTGCATCTGTTTCAGACTTGCTGGCCTGAGGCCACATGGTTTGTGTCTCTAGACACATGTTTTAGTGTGTAGAGCAGAGGTGACAAGAAGTAGCCACCGAGCCCTCATCCTGGAACTCGGTGGCAGGTCCATTAAGATGTGGACGTGGATGGTAGGAGGTTGTAGAGAGGAAGCAATGAAAATATCAAAGAGTAAATTAATTCAATAAGTCTTGAAAACAGCTCCAGGTATCACCACTTGAAAATTCACCTGGACTTCTGTTAAGAGGATAAGATTAAAAAACAACAACAACAACAACAACAAAACACAACTCCCTGCCCAACTGGCGTGGCTCAGTGGCTGAGCATCAATCTGTGAACCAAGAGGTCACAGTTCGATTCCTGGTCAGGGCACATGCATAGGTTGCAGGCTCGATCCCCAGTAGGGGGCATGTAGGGGGCAGCTGATCAAAGATTCTCTCTCTCCCTCTCCCTTTCTCATTGAAATCTATAAAAAATATATTTAATTAAAAAAAAAAACTCCCTGAGCAGGAAAAAAAAACAACTTAATCATACAAGCAAAACTTAATTTAGCTTATTTTACAAGGCTAACCTGACCTTGTTTGTGCCTCTGAAAATCATGAGGAAAACTTGAACTTTTCTCCAAGGTTGATATGAGGTAACCACTGATCAGCCCGTCATTTAAGGAAATTCTAACATCAGAATCAGTCACTGTGAAGCATGAACAGTCACTGCTTTCTCCCTGTGTAAGCTGCGTTATAACAGCGCGCGCCTGAGCCTCATGCCATGTTTTGAATGCTCCCGGTTTGCAAACTGTCTTTTTGGTGTGTGCGTGGTAAATTTTTACAATTATTCTTTGATTTTGTTTTTGTTTCTTTTTCATATTTTTTTTATTGATTTTTAGAGAGAGAGGAAGAAGAGGGAGAATGAAAGATAAACATCGATGTGAGAGCAGAACATCGATTGGCCGCCTTCTGCAGGCCCCCTACCTGGGATCAAAACTCCAACCTGGGCATATGCCCTGACTGGGAATCGAACCAGCAACCTTTCGATACATGGAATGATGCCCAACCAACTGAGCCACACCGGCCAGGGCTGATTCATTGGCTTTACTTTGGCTATTTATGAATATTAACAAAGGCTCATTCTTCCCTCTGAATTAAAGCAAACACACAGTTTTTTTAAAAAAATACTGGGACATAGAGGGGTTTGTCAATTTAAGAATACATTTTGCTGCACTGGGGTTGCAGGTTCGATCCCTGGTTGGGGCACATAAAGGAATAAACTGGCAGGAATCAACCAGTGAATTCATGGGTCAGTGGAACAGCAAATCAATGTCTCTCTCTCTCTATAAAATCAATAAATGAAAACTTTTTTAAAAAGAATACATTTTGCTGATTCACAGCTGTGAGGTTATTTCTACCTTTACTTAATTTTTCATAAGCACTGATTTTTTCCAGCAGGCTCCGGTTGATTTGTTTACAGATTCTTTTTAGGGTGTCCAAATTTCTTTCCCCAAGGATGAGTCTCTTCTCCATCTCCATAAAAATATCAAGCAAGCTCTAGAGGGAGGAGAAATAAAGTTGGAAGATGGAATTGGGCCATATTGGCTTTTAGATTAGATTTTTGTTTTTACTTGCACTTTCTCCAACCCAAGGGACCACCCTAGCTTCCCAAGCAGACTTTCCTGAGAGGACATACTGGTCTCTCAAAGCCAATATACTGCTAGGAAGGCACTTCTGTGTTTTCCGGGCCAGAAACAGAGAAAACAGAGGAGACACCACATCAGTCCCCAGGACCCAGCCCTGTGCTAAAACCACCCATGACACTTGCATGTGAAACAGCCAGAGGTGCACGCTGAGGCAACCATGGCCCTCATGGTGACAGCCCTGGGAACTGCCTCACACCCAACATTTCCTCTGGCATTACACACACACACACACACACACACCACACCAGACACACAAAACCGCACCAGACACACACACCAAAAAAACCCTGCAACACACCACAGATACACAGACATGCACACGCCCAGAAACACCCCACACACATATAAACACATGTGCACACACATCACACACACAGACACACAAAACCACACCAGACACAGACACCTGTCTCTCCTGGCTCTGCAGAGTCCCACGTTGGGCTGAGCCCCACAACCCCCTTCTCTTCTCCCGACACAGCCTGGCTCCTGGTACTGAGCGTGAGCAGCACTTCACAGCACACGAAGGGATCACATCTACAACCTTCATGCCTGACAGCTTTCTTCTTCAACCCAGGCTAAAAAATGAGAATTCGGGGTGCTTTTATCCGAGTAGCCCTCACTTCAGTCTCAGCAATCCCCACTGGCTGACTCTTCCTCGGGACTGAATCTTGGCATGACACCAGGTCTTACCATGCTATCCACCAGTTTACATCTGGAGAGCTCCCGGTTCAAAAGAAACTTAAAGTCCTTCAATTCCGGTGCAGTTACATCTTCTGAAATCTGGAAAAGCATGACCCTGTGGTGGGAAATGGAGACACTTGAGAAATGCTTTTTTAAGTAATTTCTCAGGTGATACATGGCGTCACTGCAGACTCGATTCCGATGGCCTCCCTTCAAAATAAAGCCAGTTCATCGCATGGTGTAGGAGTTGAGTTCTTAGGGAGAGGCTGGTGTAGTGACACAGAAAACTACTAACTCATGCCCAACTATCCAGCTTAACGAATTCAAATGAACTGTCCTTCAGTTCATTTCAGCTCCACGAATTGTGGTTTTCCGTTGTCTTCACTATAACGTTAAGATCTTGTTGCCACAAGAAAGTTTTGATTTTGGAAGTTACGTTTCTCAAAATGCAAATACGATCCTCACTTCCTAATTAAAACTTGTCAGTGTTCTCCCAGCCGTTACCTTCAGTAGGAAGGCCAAACACTTGGTTCTGGAATACAGACCTCTGTGAGTTGAGCCCAAACCTACCCCTCATCTCAGCCACTCCTCACCACCCTCCCACTGTCTCTTCTCCAAGCACACCCAGCTGCCCTGCCCCTCACCCCTTTATGCCTCGCCCCCCTCCACACTCCTATTCCCTTGTCTATCTTTAGACAACCACTCATTCACTAACAGCTCACGCACTGCCTACGTGCATTCACCCTCTGTGCCTTTGTATCGCCCAAAGGGTGACAAATAATTGTCTGCTTATCAAGCTCTCCAAATCCCCTGCGAGAAGGGCCCGGGCCCTGTTTGCTTCCATAAGCTCAGAGGGTTGTGAGGGACAGTGTTTAAATGCAGGGGACCCAGACGAAGGATGTTGGAGCCTTGGTCCCTCCACGCACGAGCTGCGTGACTTCAGACACGTTACACACTTTTGTCTTCATTGTAGACCGCAGACGCTTCTGTATCTATGCATTGGAACGTGTTGGGGAATTACATGAATAAGTTTATCTGCAGTGCTTAAACCAATTTTTGGCAATGCACTAAGTGCTCCAAACACGGCATTATTATTTCCTAACCTATGATAAGGTTTGGGGATATGCTTGTTCAATGAGCAAAGGAATGTTTTATAAGTCAGCAAACCTTTCATTATTATGTTGTAAAGGAAACAACTTTAATGCAAAAACACGTTAATTTCAAAGTTAAATTAGAAAATTAAAATTCTAAAAATAGTAGAAATGGGAGTTACTTAGTATTATCATCTGCTTTGTCCTTCTCGTGGAACCTGTACCCTGGAAGTATTTTGCTAAAGCTTTCTCGCTTTGGCCAAGACTGGGTCCAATCTAAAGCCACTGCCCCTTTCAACTTGATTACCAGGTATTTTTCTCTCTTACTTTCCTCATACTGAAACCTACTAGCTTTCTTGTCCCATCGTTGTCTACAAATAAACCTGGATAGTTTATGACACTTATTTTTTAGGTAGCAATTCTACTTTGACATTTTAAATGTCTAGTGGTTTCTTATAAATGGAAAGCAATCATACTAGTATATTTTTTATTTACTGGCTAATGATAAACAATGCAGAAGCAGTAGCTTGTGCTTGTGCTGGCTCCACCCGCCCCTCTTGCCCCCAAACTAACATGTTGAATTTTTTTTTAAAATATATTTTATTGATTTTTTACAGAGAGGAAGGGAGAGAGATAGAGTGTTAGAAACATCTATGAGAGAGAAACATCAATCAGCTGCCTCCTGCACATCTCCTACTGGGGATGTGCCCGCAACCCAGGTACATGCCCTTGACCGGAATCGAACCTGGGACCCTTCAGTCTGCAGGCCGACGCTCCATCCACTGAGCCAAACCGGTTTCGGCATGTTGAATATTTTAACAGACAGATCCTGCCCCTGGCAGGGTCCCTGGCCCTCGCACAGGAGGGACAGGCCATGTCCGGCACTGGCAGTTTGTCTCAGCCCAACAGCCTCCAGAAGACCAAGACGGTGGGCATAAGCTGAGACCTTCCAGGCTTCCTAGTTTGGGGGATGTTGTTTTTTAGGATTAATTGGTGCCTAATTAAAAAATCCCTTAAAAGAACTTCACAACCCTATTAAACCAAAGTTACCCAGTATTGAATAGTATCCTCCTTCCCAATTCATGTTCACCCAGAACACATCACTGTGACCTTATTTTAAAAAGGTCTCTGCTGTTGTGATCTCGTTGAAATGAGATCATACTGGATTCCAGTGGGTCCTAATTCAATGACTGGGTCCTTATGGGAAGAGGGAGCTTCAGACAAACAGACACAAAAGGAAGAATGGAGGCAGAGGTTAGATTGATGATTCTGCAAGACGAAGAATTGTTGAAAGAGAGAAGTAGATAGTATGTCTCTATTTTTAAAGTCTTGAGAATCACGAAGATGTAACTGGCAGTGACTTGTTATCACCTTAGGTCACCGACTCTCCCACAGGTGGGGATGGCTGAGCTGTAAGGCCTTTGGCAGGCCTGACACCCAAGTCAGTGTCATTCTCTCAGCAGCAGCAGGCCTCACGGGGGCTAAGCAGTCTCTGAGGGCTCTGGCCTGGCCCATCTGGAACGCCTGGCAGTGTGTCCCTCATTGGAGGATTCTATAATGCAAGTGTGGGAAATTCTCCATTGAGAATTCCTACAGTCACCCACAAGCAAGTGGGAGGAGGATTTCAGGGTAAAAGTAGTGATGCTTTATCCAAAACTAGAGGCCCGGTGCACGGATTTGTGCACCGGTGGGGTCCCCAGTGTGGCCTGCAGGCAACTGGGGAGGAGCCCAAGCCCTGGCCTGGCCCACACCGCTCCTGCTCATGCTGACCCCACTGTGCATTAGGCTCACCAGCCATGAGCCCAGCATGGGAGCACACAGACCACCAGGGGGCAGTTCCTGTATTGAGCAACTACCCCCTGGTGGTCAGTGCACGTCATAGCGACCAGTCAACCGGTCGCTTAGGCTTTTATATATATAGATAAAGTAAGCACACAATGTGGGCATCAAGAAAACAGAAACACCAAGACAACAGACACCTATCAGAAAGAGAGAACATTTAGGAAAGGTCTATTTTAATGGCAGCATACTTGCAGGTAACGTTTCACTTTACAATTTTTATTTTATGGTTTGAGCTTTTTTTTTTTTTCTTCCTGAATTCTACATCAGGTCTCCACATTTCTTCACCCGGCCCTGATAGGACATCTTCCCAGAGCCTCAAAAGTCATTCTACATCAGCAACCTGCAATCAACCCTCCCACAGGGATGTGTCTGCTCCCCGCCCCTCCCGTGCTGAGGCTACAGAGATGGTCCCCACCTGTACGCAGAGATCTGAGCCCGGCCCGGGATCTGAAGCTCCCTCCACATCTGCTCCTGGCTGGTTTTCAGGCGCTTTTCCAGCAGATCCAGCCTGTCGATTCGGAATAGCAGCTCCCTCAGGAAGGACAAGTTGCCCTCCTCCAGCATTTTCTTCTCCTCGAGTTTCTCAAAGAGCATCAGGGCATCCTTGATGGGCTCCTGCTTCCTTGGTGGGATGTGGTCCAGGCACAGGAACTTGAGCGAGGCCACCTCATCACTGCTCAGCGCTTCCCCAATGTCATACAGAAAATTGCTGAAATCCATGCTTGTCCGTGTTGGTCAAATGTAGCTGTAGCCTAGGTCAACACACAACATTATGATGAGGAAGAAAAGCACCATTAACTGCTTGGTTCCCTCATCAAATGCTATGACATCATTTACAATACGCGTCAGGCATTTTGCTGTGGGTAGAGGGACGAAAACAAACAGATAAGCTCCTGCTCTCAAGTAGCTTACTGTATGGGATGGAAGATCTATAAACTAGCCAATGGTCAGAAGAGTTGTGATCACGGTGCAGTAGGAATAATAAATGCGAAAATGCACTTGGAAGCAGTGGTTTTCCAACTCTCTGCAAAGTAGAAGGAGGCTTTGTTGAAGCCTTACTCTGACTCTCCCTTGCCTTAAGAGGTGCCGGGAGAGCTGCTGGGTGAGAACCTTGGACTAGGAAACCTTGAACTTCCCATCCGGCTCCTTCATCCCCTCAGTCCCACAGACTCTGTGCCTTTGGCACTTTCCTTAACCTCAAATAACCTTAACCTGTTTGGACCCCTTTCCTTCCTAAAGCAAAGCAGATGGTTCCCGGCTCTTTAAGCTCCCTGCATTTACTGACATTCTTGGGTGAAAATGCAAATGCTGATTGCACTCAGAGGTACTAAGCAGAGGTAGTGAACCGGACCCATATATTTTGTACATATGATATTATAATAGAAATATTTTTGATTTGCACATTAAGGTAAGTGTTAGGTCTGATCAAATAATTGAGTCAATTTCCCCTCCTCTGGAAACTGACCTTTAGACCACTTTACAACAGATATTCCCTTTTGCTTAAAGCACATTCCACTTGCTAAGACCATCACCTCTCCCCTGCAGACCTTCCCAGGATCCGGACCTGCACAGGGAATTCTCTGCCCACCTAGAGTCCCTTAAAAACCTTTGACTCCCACCCTTGGGTGCTGGCACCATTTGGGAGCACAGCCCATCTGGTATCCAGATGAACTAATAAATTTATAATCCAGAACCACTTTGGCCTCATGCATTCCTCCTGTGGTGAGCTTAACAGTAAGCTTTAAATTTTTTAAGTGACCAAAAGGACTTTGAGCCTTTTAAAAACCACCTTCCTGTCTGCACTTTGATTATAAAACCAGTGGGGTTTTTTGGTGAAATTTTAAAATGAGTTATAACATAGTCCCAGTTATCATTACATACACCACACACACACACACACGCACACACACACACACACATTTATATAAAAATTAGGATCAGGCTGCATATCCAGGTGTATACACATCCACCCCACACCAGCCCCCACTTAACATTTAAAATAAACATTAATCCCTACCATTAAATATTCTTCTTTGCCATGTTTTTAATGTTTCTAGATTTTTCAGCACGTGGATATATCAAAGTTTATCTTAAGCATTTTTCTATTTCTTTACTGCTAAAAATCATATTGCATTGAAAGGCTTTTGCATCTGTCCTGTGCCTATATCTGATAAATTCTCTCTTAGAATTAGAATTATGGGGCAAAACCTTTTTCTTCCCTTTTAATGTAGAGCTGACATCATCGTTTAGACAAGTCGTCTTGAGTCAGGAAACTGAACAGATAGTTATCTCGAAAGACACACTTTGCGTTGGATTCACAAGGGCTGCTGGGCCGAGATCTCTCACGGCCGGAGCAATCGGTTGTCATGAAAATGCCTTTGCTCGAAAGACATCTTAAATAAGGGGCCAGCACCTCACAGAAGATATTCAAAGTGCTACAAACAAAACTGCCGGACATATAAGGAGACAAACTAGCCAGCTCATTCCCTAAATCACACTCTATAGAAACACACCTGGGTGCTCAACAGGGTACGTTCCTGGCGTCTCATCACAGGGTGGCGGGTAACCTCCAACAACTAGGAGCACCCCACATGTCCTCCAATACAGGGACACTCAGCAAACTAAGGCGTAGTCGCGCCGCACAATACCATGCAGAGGTTAAACAGTGCACTCCGCCTTCCGAGCTACACAGGGATAGAGATTCCAAATACGTGTTCTGGTGACGGTGAGGGAAAAAGGCAAGTTGCAATATAACAAAAAAATCATACACCTACTTTTTAAAAATACACAAAGCAATACAACTGGATTTTCAGTGACTGCAGACGCGCATGTGAAAGCGAGGTCTGGGGGGAGAAACGCTACTCATCCAGCTCGTCCTGGAGGTGGCGGGGAGAGGGACAGCGTGGGGCAGGAAACGGAGTGTGCTGAGGAGGAAGCATGCAGGCATCCTCTGCGTAAATGAAACGAAACTTTAAACACCAGCCTGGTGTGTTCGTGGGTTTAAGAGAGTGGGACAAAGTGCGTGGAGGAGGGGCAGGAAGTGAGGCTTTGGGGGAACCTGAGGGGAGGGGAGAACCCCAGGCATGGAGACAAGATCACGGAGGAGTGACACAATCACATGCGTGTTCTTACAAGAAAACAAAAAAAAACTAGAAGGACTGTACATATCAAAAGAACTCAAAGAACTTACTTTCCCCCAAATAGCAGGAAACTTTCACACATCTCCCTCAGAGACTAAAAAATCTAGGAGGCTGACTACAGAAGACGCGCGTGGCACAGCCGACAGACGGTCTCACAGGCATTTCCTCTCGGTGGGAAATACACATCCATTCAAACACGGACAGAATGATCACCAACCCTGTCCACAAGCAAAACTCGAGTAGATTTCCAAAACGCAGAAATAATACAGTCGATGTTCTCTGGCTATTAGACGTTAACAATGAGATTAGAAATGAACATGTTCATTCGAAGTTAACAATGAAAAATGGCCAAACCAAACACACCACCAAAAAAGGCTCTTCACATGTAGGTGGCTTTTTAAGCACATGGTGTTCGAACAAATGGGTAGACTTCTGGGACAAGCTGAAATGAAGCCTAACTGAACTCCTTTCATCAAAAGGATCAAAGATTTAATCCTTAAAATTAAAATACTAAGATAAGACATAGGAGAATTTTTAAAAATAATCTTACAGTAGTGAAGAGCTTCTCTAAGTATAACAGAAAACCGGAAAGCCAACAAAGAAAGACTGATAAAGTGTATTTAAATAAAAACTAAAATATTCTGAAAAAAACCCACAAAATTCCAAAAAATAAATAAATCTTGCACTGGGAAAAAATGGGTAGTAATATGTAATAGGAAAGGGACTAATTTTTTTTTTTTTTTTAATAGGACTCCTACATGGACACAGACAATGGGGCAGGGAGTGGGGGTGGGCTGGAGAGGGTCAATGGGGGAAACAAGGAGACATATGCAATACTTTCAATAATAAAGAAGTATTTTTAAAAAAGAAAAAAGGGGGGAGGAGAAAGAAAAGAAAGAGAAAAACTAAAATGGGGAAAGGAGAAGAAAAATGAGAGGAAAAAAGAGAGGAGCGAAAGAAAAAGGTGCAAAAATAATAATAAAAATTTAAAAAAATAAAAGGAATAAATAAATAAGGCTCCTATAAGTCAGCTTAAGGGGTTTTTGGAAAAAAGAGAAAGACCAACCATCCAACGCCTAACTGGGTAAAGATCATAAGCAGACAGAGAAAAAAGTCCCAGTGGCTTTATTTTTTTTTTTTTATAACTAATGGCATTTTTACATTTGAAAAGATGTTCAACCTCATTCACAATTAATTTTTTAAAAGCAAACTGAAATTACAAAAGACCACTTTCAACAACAACAAAAAAAAGTAGGTGGGTAATTTGGCCACATCTGTCAAAATATAAAATGTACAGCTCCTTTGACCCCCCCAATTTAACTTGCAGGACTTTTCCCTACGTGAGCTGAACACGTTAAGCGCCCTGTCAGTCACCGGTGACTGAAACAGAAAGGAAGACAAAACAGGCTTGGCGCCCAGCGTGTTAAACATCAGTGTACGAAACGCATGCACAGGTTATTCATGGCAGCATTGCTTGGAATAATAAAGGAGCAGAAACTACCGTTTAAAGAAAATCAGAAGAGTTAAATAAGCTTTTAACCATGCCCGATGCTACTCTAGTCAACTATTAAAAAGAACGGAAAGGGCATCACGGTTGGGTATGTGCGATCTATGTGATGGATTATTAAGTGGCGCATCGATTTCAGAATTCCCAGATCTTGGAACAGAACACACAGGAGGCTGCTGGGTGGTTGCTCGGAGAAGAGGAAACAGGCCTGGGTGAGTGTGGGGACGGCCTGCGGGTGAACCGGAAAGTGAAACATTTTTCCCCATGTCAAATTTTTACCATGTGCATTATAAATGTACGTACAGACCTCTAAATTAAAATCTCTATTTAAAGATCCATTGGTATTCATATACTCGAATGAGCCTAAACTAGGTCCAGCCCTGTTAGGTACAGTGTCGTTAAAATTTTATATCATTTCTAACCAGTGTTAAAATCTTATTTTACAGAATAAAATCAACCAAAGAACCTAATGCAAGCAGAATCTTCTTTTTTCCCCCCTCCCCAGTTATTTTTTTCTGATGATAACAATCCTTCTCGTATTCATTTTACAAAATACAAAGAAAAAAATCAAAATTACCGATGATTCCATCATCCTAAGATAAACACCTAATAATACTTTACTGTCTTTTGTGCCAAATATTTTATGTCTATATATTTTCCCTCACAATTTGTTATAATAATGTTATGGTCATAAGGAAACCCCTCTAATGTGTGGAAATAATTATTGTGTGAAATAATTAATGTGTGAAATGTTTGCTGTGTGAAGACCCCCATACTCTGTAACTTCCAAAATGTGGTGAACGCCCCACTATCTCGATGTGAATGCCCTGAGCCCTTAGCGTAAACACCCTGCTCCTAGCAAAGGCACGCCGTCTGGCCCACACTGATAAGACACAGTTGTTTACTACGGCTATATAAGCGCCAGAGTTCCTCCAGCCGATGTCTCCTGCCTGAGAGGAGGACTCCACGTCACTCGGTGAGACAAGCCCCGGAGTGACTGCTCTGCTGTGTGAGCCTGAACCAGCTGCGGCCGCCTGTCTGTCTCTGTCTTCGTCGTCTGTCTTTTGGTGTGCGTCTCCGGGTGGCCTTTGCTGGAGCCTGGGACCCACTAGGAATAGGTAAATTAACCCTGTGTGATTGCATACTGATTCTGTCTGTGTGTTCCTACGTTCCGGTTCGGCTCAGCTCTCTAGACATTGAAGTACCAGGGGATAGGCCGTTATTGCTGACTCCTGGTCACCTGCGTTTGTCCCACTAAGTCTAGACAGATAATTAATTAACTAATTAATTAATTGGGACATAATTGGAACACAATTGAACACACCATATTCTTGAGGTGTAAGAGTATTTTTCCATTGATAATGTCGTAAGTACATTGATGTCTTCATTTTTTCTTCTGCAATATGAATTTTAAAATCTATAAAGCAGCTAATCAAATGCATGGACCATAATTTATGCAACCAGTCTCTGATTACATTTAGGATGATCTTAAAATGCAAATTTCTATGTACACCTCTGATTATTTTCTTAGACTAATTGCCCAGAAGTAGTATTAGAGTCAAAAGAAATAAACCTTTTTAAAGCTTTTGTTCAAAAGTGTTTTCTGACAGTATATATACAGGGGTGGGCAAAAGCAGGTTAATAATAATTATTATTAATTACAATACAATAATGAACACATGATAATTCAAGAATAAACTCTGTGTTTCGTGTACTCACAACTGTAAACCTACTTTGCCCACCCTGTATGTATATTACAATTCAAGGCCAATGATCTCTCTCATTAATTGATGTTTTTCTTTCTCTCTCCCTCTCCCTTCCTCTCTGAAATAAACAAAAATATACATGTTTTAAAAATATTAATCTAACAAAGTTTCTAGCTCATGAGACTGTCCAGTAAACGCAGGTCCCAGGGTCCCTGTAGTTAGAACAGGAGTTTCGTTAGAACATGATTGGGGCTGGGCTCCTGTCCTCTCATCGTGCTCGTTTTATTATCTTTGCCGTAACATGACAATGTTTCCTAAGTGATTTTTGCATCGTATCGAAATGGCCACTTAGTAAATGCTAGTGAGGTTTCTTTCCTGGCTCAGGTTTCCAGCACACACTGGTACGACTGACAGTCAGTCTGTCTGTCTGTTTGTTTGTGTCACCTAGTTTTCTAGTCATAGTGCCTGGACAGCAATCGCCTGCACAAGATTCTACACCATTCACCACAGGCTGCTGCTAGGCACTGGGTTCTAACTATAGGGAGCCTAGGGCCTAAGTTTACTGAACAAACTGATGAGCTAGAAACTTGGTTAGATTAATATATTTTTATTGATTTCAGAAAGGAAGTGGAGAGGGAGATAGAAACATCAATGATGAGAGAGGATCATTGATTGGCTGCCTCCTGCATGTCCCACACCGGAGATCGAACCCACAACCCAGGCATGTGCCCTGACCGGGAATTGAACCGTGACCTCCTGGTTCACAGGTCGGCACTCAACCACTGAGCAACACCAGCCTCTAGTATAATTATATTTTTAAATATTAAAATTATTTAAAATTTTTTAAAAGACCAAAAAATCACCCCATAGCACAAAAACAGGAATTCTTAACTTCACTATAGCAGAGAGAGTCAGAACCTTATAAACCAAGCTAGTACATGCTGGAGCCTAAATTTAGACCTCAGCCACAAATCCACCACTGCCTTATGGCCACGATTTAACTACAAATAAATCTCATCTAATCACAAGCAATCCTTCTGGCAATATTCTAGCAGCATCCCAGATCCTTTAGGGATATGGATAATGGGAAAAGAAATCCAAAACTTGCAGTCATCGTCTGAGACAAAAACCTGCATCTCATTCCAAGCTCAACAGGACTTGAAAATGGCTCTCAGGCCCAGCCCACAGTGATAGTGTGGCTACTCCCTCCCGTCCGGGGTGGCCACCTAGAAGTGGGGGCTCCCCCAGAACCTGCCAGCTGTCCACTCTGCACACAAACACTGTCCCCGCAGGCCCTGAAACCAGCGCTTTCACAGGGCCCAGTGAAGGTGTTCAAACATCAAGAAAACCCTGTCATTTTCAAACTGAATGACATTCCTAAGTCCACCTATAAACGCTAAACCCCACAAGTACAGTCTCGAATTTTGTCAGTAATTTCCTCTGTAATTTTTAAATTTCTCAAAATAAATAAATAAATGATTGAATTTTTAGGGCTGTGTGCATGTGTGCGTGTGTGTTTATGTGTGTGTTCATGTTAGTAGGCATCTATGTGGGTGGGTACGTGCTGAGAAATGGTTAGCTGTAGCAGCAAAGTTCTTTGAGATGTAACATTTGCTTTCTATTCTTTGACAAGTTTTACCTGCATAAGAATCACTGTACTTGGAGCATTTCAGAAAAAACAAACAGGAATGCATCAACCTAAGCCAGTGGTCGGCAAACTCATTAGTCAACAGAGCCAAATATCAACAGTACAACGATTGACATTTCTTTTGAGAGCCAAATTTTTTAAACTTACACTATATAGGTAGGTACATTGTTATTAACTTAATTAGGGTACTCCTAAGGCTTGGGAAGAGCCACAATCAAGGGACCAAAAAGCCGCATGTGGCTCATGAGCCGCAGTTTGCCAACCACAGACCTAAGCTAGAGAGGCCTTGAGATGTGCAATCTGTGGGCCCACAGGCTCTCGGCTCAAACACAAGGCTCATTTCCAGGAGCCCTCGGCCACCAGATCCCACCCTCAGGAGCCTAGAAAACCCTAGAATCAAAGGCCTTCCTCCCCAGAGGCCCAACTGACCTTATCAAAGGCAAGTCCTGGGACCCTCACCGCTGCTTGCTTTCCGCTGGTCTAGCCAAGCCAAGAGTTTAAGCCGAATGAAGAGTGAAGTGGGCTTTTACTTCCTGTTTTAACTGAGTAGTACCTCCCACATTTTGTAATAAGGCTGGTAGAACCAAGAAATTGTTAGTTTTAGCTATGTAAGCTTGGGTGCTTTAGAGGCAAGTTTCATTACCATATTCCAAAATTAGAAAGCTGGACTAAATGATGACTAAGATTGCTTTCTTTTTACTTCCAGAATTTACTAATAGTCTAGGAAGGTTTATCATAAATGTTATGTTTTGCCTAGAAGGTCAGGGTTCAATCCCAGTCAGGGCATATGCCTGGGTTGTGGGCTCGATCCTCAATGTGCAGGAGGCAGACAATCAATGATTCTCTCTCATCATTGATATTTCTATCTCTTTCTCCTTCTCCCTTTCTCTCTGAAATCAATAAAGAAATATATTTAAAAAATAAAAATAAATATCATTATTTAAAAAAAATAAAAGGAAACAGAATGAGTAAAGTAATACAAGTAATACATTTGTCATAATAATTGCTAACACTTGTTGGGTACTTAGCCAGCCAGTCACAAGCAGTTAATACCTCTTATCACCTTGCAATGCCCACAATCACCTCATGATGTCGTATTAATATTAACCCCATTTAATGAGCAGAAGCACAGAGAAAGTACTTGCTCCCGGTCACATAGTTAAAAAATAGTGCCCACACACAAAGCAACGATAAAAAATAGTGCCCACACACAAAGCAACGATAAAAAATAGTGCCCACACACAAAGCAACGACACGTTTTGCAAAGACACAGATCCATTCAGGGATACGGATCAAAAGATTTCAAGAGCTGTCTTTTGGGAACCTCCGAGGGTAGGAAGCCGGAATCAAGAAAGAACCTAGAATAGGGCGGGGGGGGGGGGGGGGGGGAAGAAACAGTGGGCCTTCGAGACCAAGGACCCAGGCCATTGGATGTGACAGAAAGATTCACTTAGCCCTCTGCCCCAGCACCAAACAGAGAGGAAGCAACACATAAAGTCTGTGGAATCTCCAAGCTGATCCGGCAGGAGGGAGACACTGTCTATGCTTGAGGCGACCAGCAGAGGAACTGGAGATTTCCAGAGCTGAGAAGGAGCAAGGCCGGTGGCCGTAGCTCAGAGGGAAACACACGTGCAGGTCCTGGCGGGACCCAGAGGCGTCCTCACTCAGCAAGTCCCAGCAGCGCGGTGTCCAGAAGCCACTCCGCAGCGGCACTCACCTGCTCCCCCTGTCCCAGCAGCATCATAGTCACCAGGCCCCCGACGCCAAGGCCCCCAATCTCCTAATTTCCCAGGACCACATCCCACACAACCAGAGGGGGGGCGAGGGAAACCAGGAAACAGAGCAGGAAGGAAAGGGTGGGGATGGAACCGCCCCCAGTAACTTTTCTTTCACTTTCGCCTCTCACCAGGGACCCACTTTCTGTCTCTAGTCAGCACAGTCAGAATTCACTAGCACGCTAAGCAGGGCTTTTAAAGTCACCAGAGAACTGTGCAAACATGTCCCTGCGGCAGAAGGGCGGAATCTGGTGTTTGAGAAAAAAACTCTCTCAACAGAAAGAACTAGAGAATAAATTTGATTCCTAAAACAGGAGGACAGAGGAGTGACAAGAAGTGTTTCTTATTTAAAGAGACAGATGCCCAATTTCCAACCATTCAGAAGCGGAGGTGACGGTCGTCTGCATGCATACTAAACACCGGGAAGCTGGACGTGCCTCATTGGAAAGCACTTACGCTGACTACGTTTAGTAGTAATAACCCCTGTCGTTTTTAAAGACAGGCAAGTGAAATGCCATTCGCCCTTGAAAGAGGTCTGGGGAGAGGAACCGTCTCTCCAGGCAGTGGCTCAAATCTGCACGAAGCCATGGCCCAGCCCCTCAGAAGGGGGGGGGGGGGGGGGGGCAGGCGCTCCCCTTGGGTCTCAGCAGGCTGCTAGCAGAAATGTGGGGGAGCTTCTGCACAAACATGAAGCGGGTGGGGCGGCCCAGCCCTGGCCAGGCTCCCAGTATAGGAGTCACCAGGGCCAGTGCGGTGTCGAGCCTGGTGGTACTATGGATGGAGATCTGCGCCCCAGGACCCTGAGCCCCAGGCCCTCCCCAGCTTTTCTTCATCCCCCGTCCACTCCTCTGTCTGTTTCCTGTTTGAATTTTCTTAGTGGTTTCCTGCCTCTTTGTTTTCACATCTTGTACATGTTATAACCCAAACGCTGACAATCATGCAATACCTAGATGCTGCATCCTTTACACACGTTTTCTCTAATTCTCACAGCAATGCAGGGTCTTGTTCTCCCGTGTTCTGGATGAGGAAACTGAGACTCAAACTGATAACAGACTCAAACTCAGTCCTGTTGGACCAAACACAGGATTATTCCACGATAACATACTAGCCCTCTTTCCCTTGACACTTAGGATTTGGAATAAGCAGTATGCTGGAAAAGCAATGAACTTGAGCTAAGACAGAGTGGCCTATGCACAAAGATCAGAAGGTCTTTGGTTCTCTGTCACCTAAGAAAAAGGAGTTGGCCTCGTGGCACCAGCTAACATTTACCAAACATTGTGTATTCGCCGGACACAGTCACCTAAACCGGCTCATTTCACCTCAGAAGTGGATGCTATTTTTGTTCCCATTTTATGGATGAGGAAACTGAGGCCTGAAGAGGTTGAAAGACTTGGCCAAGTGAGCTAGTGAGTGACAGAACGAGGTCTCTTTGTCTCTAAGACCCCAAGCGGTTAATCACTGTCTAAATATTAACACACAGTGATGGTTCTCAACTTGACTGGTCTGAGAACTAACTGGAGAGGTTTAAAAAAGGACCAGTCTTCAGGCCCCAGCTCTGAATGCCTACCTGAGCAGAATAACTGGAGATTGAACAGACCGAGGACTTCGAGCAGCCCCAGGCCTTCCACTTTCTCGCCACCGTTGTTGCTTACGCTCAGGCCTCTGTAAGGTGGCTATTTTAATGACTGGACATCGTGTACGGATGAGGAAACTAAATTCAATGTCCACCAGCTGACAAATGGCAAGACCAGCAAATAAACCCAGGACTGCCTCCCTCGAGAATTCATGCTCATCCCCCAGTCCGCACCCAGGCCCAGCCTGGCAGACGCAGGTCAGCCACTGGAAGCGTGAGGGTTCATTCAACAGGAAACTAGGAGGCGTGAAGAGAGAACTCTCAGGGATGGGCCACTCACCACAAAACAGGCAGAAACATACCTTGCGTCTTGAACAGGAAGTGCACTACATTACTTAGGAGGAAGAAGAGATTCCAACTTGCCCAGTAACAGCTCAGCCAATGGGAGCCTGCCATAACTCAGCCAATGAAAAATCATTATCCTTTGACCATCTGGTAGGGGCAGAAATAGAATGCTAAGGAACCAGCTAGAATTGCAAGAAATATTAGTCATGCTCTGTTAACTGTGACTGTTTTGTTCTGATTAAAGGAGGCACATTCTAACCTGGCTGGCAGCCGCCCTCTGGACCTGGGGGCTCACCTGGGAATGCAGCCCGCCCTCCCCATTTGGAGCTGCCTGTTATCTTGGAAAGATGAACAACTCTGCTGCAGAAACCAGAATCGCCAGCCCCTCCAAGATCCCAGTCCTTGCATATCTGTAAACTGTCCATTTGCCCTTTCGCCTGCTTTCCTTTGTACTTCTACCAATCTAAGCAGTCGGCTTATGGTAGGGTCCAGAGCAGATTTTTGTGGAAGACCTGCTGCTCTCCCATACTGCCAGCAATATTGGAATAAACGCTCACAGATGATTCAACCCTGTCTCTGCTGAATTGGCTCAAGTAGTGACAGGCAGCACGGACCCATTGTTTGTCTGATTACACATTCAATTTCTTTCTATAGACTCCTTTACACCAGCATCCCTGTGTCACACACACCCCCCCCCCCCCGCCCCCGCCCCAGTCTATACAGCATAAAGAGTGTTCTTCTCCTTTGTTCTCTGGACTTGCATGTGTACCCCATTAGACCACACATCCTGAATTTCAATTCTTTGTTATTCCCAAATAAAACCATTTTGCTGGAGAAATAGCTGGCTATTTATTAAAGGTCAACAGATGCATTCAGGGGCCGTGCTGTGGATGAGTGTGGGCAAGGAGGAGGACAGAGGGGGTGTCTCAGGGCTTCCATTTGTGTCTTTTGTAAGGTATTGACCCTAGGCCCTCCCAGTCTTAGCTCCTTTTTAAAAGGAAGATGAATAATTAGCCCGTGAATCAGGAACCTGAAGTTAGTTACATTCCTACTGTGATCTGCAAGGATCATTATTCAGTCATTTGCTCTCAACAGTTTCTCGCCTCAATCTTGACATATATGTCTGTGTCTATTTGTTATTGAAAGGAATAATGTATGGGGTCTTTCACCCCAGGGAAGCTGGAAGACCTGGAGGTGCTGCAGGAGCTGCAGGACTTGGGGGAGGTGGTCCCCGCCCGCTGCACCGTGAGGACAGCCTGATTTGACTTAACCACCAAGTGGTTTCCACCGTCGTAAATCTTAGCTCCCGCCAGAAGCCCTGCCTTGGAGACTCAGGCTAAACGCGATTTGGCTCTGTACGCCTCCCTAGGAAAGTGGAGAGGGACTGAACCTCCTCTCCGCGTGCTGCAGCACACCCTTCCCATTGATCTGGACTTGAACCACAGGACACTAGTCAGGGATAAATACTGACAGTGAAAGAAAAGTCTTCTGAACATGCATGTGCTTTGTATGTTGCTTCTTCTTTAAGTGGCACATACTGACTCACAGGCCCTAGCCTCACTCCTACTTTGACTCTAGCATCTGGCCTTGGTTCTGGGCCTTGTATACTCCCTCCAGGAAGTGGTGAGGGAAGGAAAAGAGATTGCATCCCAATCGATCTGTTTCATCCCCTCCTGGGCCTTGCTCAAAGAGAGTCAGCTAGTTGTTTAAAAGTTCTTCACCGCTGGGATTGTAAGCCTTTTGATTTTTGTTTAGGCGTTGAGATGATTAGACAGTCACAGGCAGATAGAAGAGGTTACAGTCACCGACTTTAACATGCATGTTTTGCAACTGGTGGGGCCAGTACCTACCTCCCAAAACTACTGCAAACTAAGACCCATACCACTCACTGATCTAGAAAGGAGGAAACTGAAGTAATTGTTGGGTTGCGATGCCAATATTCATGTCACCAACCTAGCTTTTTCAATATTTTCTTGACGTTCTGAACAGGGTGAGGGTCCTTTATGTTCTTGCTTTACTCTATGCCTCTACCCAAGAAATGGAGCACCTTGAACCCTAAGGACAAGTGTAAAGAGTCACTTAAAATATTTTATAAGGATAAAATATACATAACATAAATTTTACCATTCTAACCAGTTTAAGTGGATTCACACTGTTGTGTAACCATCACCACCATCCAAGACATTAAGTACATTCGCACTGTTGTACCATCATCCAAGGGCCACTTTTAATGATATAATAAGACCATATTTATTAAGCATCGTAGTTTTTTTAAACATCTTTATTGTGATGTAATTCACATACCATACAATTTAATGGAGTTTCATATTTTCACAGAGTTGTGCAATGATCTCCACTATCAATTTTAGAACATTTTCATTATCCCCCAAAGGAACCCCGTACCCTTGGCAATTGCTCCCACTTTCCTCCCAAGCTCCCCAGCCATAAGCTATTTTCTACCACTAATCTACTTTCTTTCTTTTTAAAAATTTATTGATTTTTAGAGAGAAACATCAATTTGTTGTTCCCCTTTATTTATGCAGTTATTGGTTGCTTCTTGTATGTGCCCTGAGCAGGGATCAAACCCCAAACTTTGGGTTATGGGAACATGCTCTAATCAACTGAGCTACCTAGCCAGGGCAAGCATGATATAGTTTTATAGCATTTTCCCTACTATGTCATTTGACCCTCATTGGTAACTACCTTTTTTAATCTAAGACAGGCTGGGCAGGTGTTACAAAGACATTTAGGAAACCAAAGCTCAGAAAGGTGAAGTGACTGAGCTGAGAGAAAGGATAGTCTTTCCATGAAATGGAAACTGGCATAACTGCACATCCACATGCAAACACACATACACACACACACACACACACACACACACACCTTTAAACAAACAAACAGCCTTAGCAGGTTTGACTCAGTGGATAGAGAGTCGGCATGTGGACTGAAAGGTCCCCAGTTCTATTCCGGTCAAGGGCACATACCTCAGTTGCAGGCTTCTCCCAGACTGAGCCCTGGTTGCCCACTCAGCCTGCTTGTTCAGTCGTTTGGTCGTCCCTCACTAACCCCCCTGCCGGCCTTGTCACCCCACGCAGCCTGCTGTTCGGTCATCTGTCCAGTTGTTTTGGTCATGATGGCCCCTGGCATTTTATATATTAGGATGACAGATTAATTGGATAACCATAATAAAAAAAGAACCTTCTACCTACAGAAATGCAAATCCAGGTGGATCCGAAGCCTAACTATATAAAAAATGCTAAGAGGATATCTTCACGAAGGAGTAGACAGAATAGGACACAAAAAGTGCTAACCCTTAGGGGAAAAATGATCAACTGAACATTCATTCATTCATGTATTAGAGGTAAGAGGCTCTGTTCAAAAGCTGAATCATGAAAAAAGTCAAAAGGCAGGCCAGAGAGACATACTTAATACTTTCAGCAATAAAGAATTTAAATTAAAAAAAAAAAAAAGGCCAGAGAACAGGAGAAGAAAAGTTATGACCTGGAACAATCTCCATGATGTGTTGGTAAATAAAAAGTGTCACAGACACAGAAAAGCGCAGAATGAGAACAATAAACAGACAGGGCGCGGCGGGCCCTAGAAGTCAGAAAATGGCGTTTCCCTCCTTCAACACCGTCACTTGATTTTCTGAGGGACATTTTGCATCTTCTTTTGAAATGAGTAGTATTAAGTGAAAGACTCGGTTTGAAAACCTAACCTGATAGCATTCCCACTTGGGAGTGTACAAGGCCTGTGCTCACCAGATCTGCCGAGTCACACACCCTGCATGCCCGCCATAGGCCGCTGGCACCCAGAGCCCCGCTAGCAGGCCTCAGACAACCCCGCGAGGTCCAGCCGTAAGGGAGGCTCCCCAGGACTTCCTTGCCCTGAATTTTCTATAATACTGTTCTGGATATTTTTATCTTGTTAATTACTTCAACAGTAGGGAAAAGAGAGAGAATTAGTCACCACGACTAAGGAAGTAGGGTGTTTGAAGCTCGAAAATGAAAGCTGTTTCTCATTAGTAAGTTGTGATCGTCTTACTAATGCTGAGAAACCCGGCCACTCTGGCAGAGAAGGCAGAGCTGAGGGGAAAGGGCTGAGCCAGGAGGAAGATCTGTACCCCGAAAGCTGCAAGGACCCAAATGGGCTCTCAGGTGGTTGCCAGAGAAATGTGTAATTTATATATATTCAGTTAAAAGAAGAGTATTATTTGGATGTCCCAGTGGTCTCCAGCCTAGACAATTCCAGAAACAAACTGGTTCCTTCCCCAAATTCTAAATAAATCTTACCAGCGGGCAAATACAGATGGTTCTTTCTGGATGTGTTCTCGCCAAGAAAGGTCCTTGAGAACTGCTGGGTGCTTCTCTCACTACTCGAGAATATAAAGGGAGTGGAGACTATAAAGGAAGTCGAGAATAAAGGAAGTTAAATGAGCACAAGTGAAATTTTCTGAGATTAGAATAGACTCTGCCAATGAGTGCGGGTGGGGCTCTGATAAAAGCACATAATATTTAAATGACAATTCTCTTCAGTAACTAGGATTTTTTACTTATTAAGCCCAGCTCTGGGAGTCACTTTTACTCAGCAAGGAAGTCATGTCTACTCAGCACAGCACCGGTTGCAAATGCCTACAGGCCTCTTGTTTAGAGTGATACTGATTATGTCCTCAGACTAATTACCTCAATGTCTGACCCATTCATGCCCATGATGGGGTCGCCTAGGTTTCTCCCTTGAGGTCTGGATTGCTCAGTTTAGCTGTTTTCCCTTTGCTAAAAGAGGGTGTTGGAGAAGGGAAGATAATCTCTTCATATCTCAGTTCAAATAGTTAATGAGTGCATGATGATGTGCTCTTTTTTTCATTTAGGGTCTCAATTATTTTTCCAGGATTCTAGTCAGGACATCATTCATTCAAAATATATATGATAAGGGTTCACTCCCCTGGAGGGTGGGGAAAGGTGCAGTTCTTGCTCAGGACACAGAACAGATTGCCCACCTACAGTTGATGGGGAGATGTCCCTCCAATTGTGAGGACAGGAGCACCTTCGGACCTGAGCTCTGTTGTGGGAAGGGACCTAGCTCTCCCCTCTCTCCCATAGGCTGTGTGACGTGTACATCACCAAATTCATCCACTTCCAGTCCCAGGAAGTGGCCCCTGCCCTGTATTGGACAAACTGCTGGATGTGCCATCCACTACCCATCCCTGTAGATAAACATCTGATTTAGTATCCAAGCTGCCGGATACTAAAGAGGGGCCTTTCTGGTACCTTAGCTACCCCGGCCTTAGCGATCTGGATCCAACGTGTTGCCCCAGTTGGACTCTGACAGTGCAAAAGCAAATGCCTTCCGAGGTGCCAACTTGCTCCTGTCGGGAGACAGGGCAACTGGAACATCTGAACAAAGGGGCCTGGGATCCACCTTTGGGGCTATTTTTAACCCTCAAGAGTGAAGACCTTCTCCTCCCTATACCTGCCCCTTCCATACACAGATTTACAAGTCCATTCAAGGACTCTGCCCCATGATAGCAATGATTCTTACACACTCAGTGCTGTGTGTGCCCCTTTAGAGTGTTATTTCTTTAGTGAACATAGGCTTTCCCCTGCCTTCCTTCTAGCAATGTAACACTTATATCCAGGGCATTAATAAGAGACTTCCAAATATTCAAAACAGTTCCATCCATTGATCATATCACCTTACACGGAGTAAGATGAGAACTCCAAAAACGAGGGGGACCCCGGTTACTCAGGAACATTTCCAGGGGGCATTACCAACCATTTCCACTGTCAGGATCCTTCCATTGGAAGTGGTTGTGCACAATGTGTGTTTGCTGAGGTCATTCATGGCCCTACTTCAGCTCT